ACTCAATCGTACCTACGGAAGAGCGTTCAGTGTCGAAGACAACACCTTCACTAGAACTTCTTGACGATTGTCAGAGGAACGTTCTTTGTGAGAGCATCAGCCAGCATGTCAGCCGTAGCGACGTAGAAGATGTCCACTTGTCCAGCTTCGTAGAATTCGCGAACAAAGTGATACCAGATCTCCACGTGCTTTGTCCGACGTTCGACTACCGGATTGACAGAGAGGAAGATCGACCCTTGATTATCTACACAGAGAGGGGTCGGTTCGCTCATGTCGTATCCGAGTTCGTCAGAGAACGTCCTCAGCCACGCCATCTGTCTGCAGGTGTCAGAGGCCGCTTTATATTCCGCCTCAGTTGAGGAGAGCGAAATGGTAGGCTGACGCCTCGATGCCCATAATATGGCACCACCGGCTAACAAGAAGATCGTGCCCGAGGAAGAGTGCCGGTCGTCTCGATCTTCTGCCCAATCAGAGTCCGAGTATGCAATCAAGCCATCATTAGAAGCGCCGTTGTAGCGAATCCTGTAGGTGCGAGTACCTTGCAGGTAGCGTAAGATGTATTTGGCATACTTCATGTGGTCGGGCGAGGGATTGGCACTGTACCGGGAGAGACGAGTGACGGCGAAGGCGATATCTGGTCTTGTACCGAGCATGGCGTACATAAGACTGCCAATGAGGCTCTGGTAACGCGACCGTTCAGTGTCTGAGGCGAGTCCGTCGTACTTGACGAGAGCAGCGCCCGCAGGAAGAGGGGTATTGGCAGGTTTACAGTCAGCCATCTCAAAACGTTCTAAGACAGACTGGACATAGTCCTCCTGGTCGATGTCAATGATACGTGAAGCACGATCTCGACGAATGCGAAGACCAAGGAAGCGCTGTACTGCGCCTAAGTCCGTCATTTTGTACTGGTGTCCGAGTGTCCGTTTGACTTGCTTGATGTGATTCTTGTTATCGCCGAAGAGGAGTAGATCGTCGACATAAAGAACCACAATGGTGACTGAATTCCCCCCATGTCGCCGATATACGTATACGCCGGCATCGGAATACGTCCGTGTAAACTCCAGATCAAGAAGGGATTGATGGATCTTCGCATTCCATTGACGCGAAGCCTGCTTAAGACCATAGATAGCCTTCTTGAGCAAGCAAACATGATCCTCTTTCCCTTTGACGACCCAACCTTCCGGTTGTTCCATGTAGATCTCTTCCTCAAGATCACCGTTCAGGAATGCGGTTTTGACGTCCATAGACTCCATCTCCCAGTCCTCAAGTGCAGCGTGCGCAATGAGATACCGGATAGATTCGTACCGCGCAACGGGAGAGAACGTCTCGTGATAGTTCTCACCCCAAACCTGGGTGAAACCCCGTGCAACCAATCG